TTACACGTATTTAATGCGTGATAATGGCTTACACTTAGTTTCCGAATTTCATAGGAGGTAGGAATGTCGCAATGATGCAACAGTTGTTGTTCAATTGGAACCTAGCGTAATCAACGCTATGAAGGAAGGTAGGTTTTCAGTCAAATTCATAAAAAGTCTTTCCTATAATTTTGTCAAATGAAAACTGTATGGATTACGGCAGCTGATTGTTCTCCTCGTATCAATACTGTCTTACGCGCCATTGTTTGCTTTATACATAAGATGTGCAAGTTTGGGTAAATAAGGCTCAAACCTATATTGATAGCCACTTTGCACAAGCTCCTGTTCCTCATTTTCAGTGTTTCCACTCCTTCCAATTCCTTCATCATGAAAAAATTTTTGTCAAACCAAATAAAAAACCAAGCCAATCATTTGGAAAAGTATATGCGCTGACGGTAGTAGTATAGTGAATGAGAGTATCAGATCATTTTCCAAAAATGCCTGCAATATGCTTCCAATTCACTTACTAATGATATGTTTATACGTTTTTGATGAGTTAACAAAAACTTTGAAATCTCTTGATAAAAACTATAGGAAAATTTTTAAAAAGGTTCCTAATCCGATGATTAATGATTTGTTTTTATGTTTTTAATGAGTCAACAAAAATCCCCAAATTTCCAGAAAAATATTGACTCATTAAAGATTCCAAGAATTCCAAAAATGCTGACTCACAAAAATTCAAAATGACGATAAAACTGGTTCAAACCGGTTCAAACGTGTTTTTCAAAATTTTAAAAACACAAAGAAAATTCGCGCGTAGAAAATATGGAAAATAAAAATAAAAAACACTCAAAGAAAATTCAAGTCTAGAAAATATAGAAAATCAAAATATACTTAAAATTCACATGTAGAATATATGGAAAAAATTTATCTACATATGATATAGAGATGAAAAAAAAACAAATTACAAAATCTGACAAAAGACCAGCTCATTGACATAATAATGAATTTGAGATCTGTTCCAAAATATCGACCTTAGCCAGCACCAAGGAAAATTCAATTTACACTATTACCAAATAATGTTCAAAAGATGGTTCAAGATTATGAAGAAAACATTATTGAACCACCTTTAAAGTTCCGAGATGATTATAAACTAGTGCCTAAACCAAGAACAAAGAGGCCTGTTCCATTACCAAGAACAAGAGTTACTGAGACAAACAAAGCTTTAAAAGAATTCACTAAATCATATGAAATACGAACAAAAAATAATAAAGATCCATTGATTCAAATGTAGAGCACAAGATTTGCTATCATTAAATTCCTTCGGAATATATTAAGCATCATGAAAGGTTTTAAATTCACAGAGACATTAAAGATTACCTTTGAGAAGCATATTAGAGATGATGAAGTTCAAACAAAAACAGCATATTTTAATAGTACACCTCAGACAATAATTAATGACCAGAAATAGCAGACTTTTTACAATGAACAAAGCAACACATACTATATCAAATTGCACAATGGATTTCAGAAGGTTCTGGTTGGCGTATTCGATCAGTTGATAATCAATACATAAATATTGTGAAATATAATCCAACCAAAGGTTCTTCTTAGATTCAACCTCCACCAGAACTGAGAAAAAATAGAAAAGGATTGATCAATCTGAAAAATAAAGATAATGAATGCTTCCGTTGGTTTCATATGAGACACTTAAATCCACAAGAGAAGTATCCTGAGCGGATTAAAAAAGTTGACAGCTTTCGTTGAACAATTGGATTACACAGGAATTGAATTTCCAGTGACTATAAAACAAATCAACAAGATTGAAAACGTATTCGGCTAGGATGATAAATAATGATATCCAATATATATTGTCAAAGAGAGGAATGAAAATAATTTGAATCTTTTATTAAGAAGAGAAAAATTTACATTATGTATCGATGAAAGATTTCAATAGACTTATGTTTAACCAAACGAAACACAAGAATAAAAAGCACTTTTGTGTGTGTTGTTTGCAGTGTTTTAACTCTGAAAAGGTATTAACTGATCACAAAGTTAATTGTCTCGTAATCAATGGAGCGCAAGCTGTAAAGTTGCCGACTAAAGATAGCAACATATTGAAATTCAATAATTATCATAAACAACTACCTGCTCCATTTATAATCTATGCCGACTTCAAAGCGATAACCGAGAAATTACAAGGTTGGCAACCATCTGACGATGAATCTTTCACTGAAGCTTATCAAACACATACTGATTGTGGATATGGTTACTAGGTTGTTTGTACTTATGATGACAAGTATACAAAACCTATACAAATATATCGCGGTGAGAAAGCAGTTTAAAAATTCATGGAACAGATGCTTAAAGAGGTGGAATATTGTGAGAGAGTTATCAAATCTGAATTTAACAAACCAATGAGAATGACTAAAGAAGATGAGAAACAGTTTAAAAATGCTGATACATGCCATATTTGTTAACTTAATATACCAACAAAGATATTCGTGTAAGAGATTAGTGTCAAATAACCAGAAAATACAGAGGTTCAGCTCATCAAGATTGTAATTTAAACTTTCGAATCAGTGATAAAATACCAGTAATATTTCATAATCTGAGAGGTTATGATTCACATTTTATCATGCAAGAAATCGGTAAAATCGTTAAGAATAATAAATATATGAATAAAAGAGGAGAATTAACAGAGATTTAGTAATACATAGACAGGTAAAAACGAGCGATATAATATCCCGACGTTTCGGCGACTTCATGACGCCATTATGAAGGGTACAAATGAAAATAAAATTAACAAATGTGAGTTCAAGAGTTACAACTAATTTACATAGGGGTGGTAGCTACACAAATACTTTAGCACGGATAGAATCCGTTTGCACGTTCAAACTCGCTTTTAACTGTTTGATGTAAGGCATCTCGTTGACAAGACAACTGAATTTGTTCATGCACTTCTTTAGAACTTTGAAACAGCTACGAAGGTCCTCAGGGACAGCACCTGCGTGATCGTTGTCGTAGTGCTTGCGTACTGAAGATGACGTGCTCTTATGGCTATCCACGCGGGCATATAAATGCCCGCGTGTGTAACCAACATAGCTCCCTGTATCGCACAGGTTACATTTAAATTGGTACACTATACGCACTGTTGATTAACCAGCTGTGGTTTGGTCTCACATTCTTTAAGGTTTAGGCCAATTTTCCGATTGACAAATACGGGCTGGATTGTGGTTTGGAGCTTAATGCTAAGGTCTTTCAACTGTGTCTTAAGAATGGCTGCCTATAAGGATCGAGAATCGTCCGTCAGCGGCCATTGTGGTGAATTGCTCATATTTTGCTCAACGATACCTTTTGGTAAACTGTTTTCAAAAATCAAGTTTAAAAGTTCCGACGAGTGTTAATTTTTCAGAAATTTGCGAAAATTTGAAAACGCGGTATAAGTGCGGTTTTCCGCTTGGCAACTTGTCCAAAATTCAATGCAAAACCCAAGCTCTGTTGAAGGCTTAAAATGAATTCAGTTAACACCAAACTTCCCACGTTTTAAGAAAAAGTCTTCCCATTTATTTCTGTTATGTTAATTTTTTCCGTACACAGCTATATTGTGTTTTTTTTTGTCCCTTAAGCAACACCCTCAAAAAGTGCTGTCCATGGGGCGAAAAATAGGTAAAATTTAACGCGATAAAAGTAAACCTGGTACATAATTTTCTAAATTTTTAACTTGATATTCGTAATAAAATGTCATCATTTAATACCTGAGTAAAATTTGAGGCTTTGAATCGGAACGCTTCCTTTTGAAAATACCACAAATGTTTGTGTCCTGAGCGAACAAAGATGTATGTTTTGTAAACAGACGCTAATCTAACTATTCCCTGCCAGGTAGAAAAAGGTTTTGAAATCAACTTTAATTTTAGAAATTTTTAGCTGTTATGCCACAAGATATTAGGTAAAAGGGAAATCATACATTCAGAGTTGCGTGAGAGCAGAGAGAAAATAAAATCAGTGTCTAAAATGTACATACGGTTGTTACATCGATCACCATTATGCAAATTACTACTTCAGCTGTAGGAAAACTGTGATATCTCTTGCTTATTTTGTTGAATGACTCTTTAAACCATTTTGGTGAATTGCTGATATTTCGCCCAAAGAAACCTTTCAGCAAACCCTTTTCAAAAATCATGTTCCAGCGATTCTTAACTTTTCATAAATTAACGAACATCTGATAACGCGGTTTCAGGTTACCTGAGTTGATAACTCTTGTCTATGATCTTCGATCCTGTTTTTAGTTATTTCATAGATCTACTTATTATTTGTATTCTTACAGAAATTATGTTTTATTTCTAATTGTACATACACGTACACGTTTTAACGAGAACTTCAGTACTCCTAGGTGTCACGTGTTTAAATAAAGGATTGATTGATTGATTGATTGATTGATTGATTGATTGATTGATCTGGGTAGTTGTGAGGAAGTCCGATGACTGGAAAAGTCGTGCACCATCGGTGCCCCAAGCACGCCGCATATCTCGAGCAACTACCTCAGCGTCAAGCTTGTGGCCTGTCGTCTGCCCTATTCGAAGTTTAGACAGAAAGTACGACTTTTGTTTTTCGTTGAATCTGTAAGCCTTTTTTAATTACTCTGAGAGCCCAGCCTTTTTTCAGAGAAACACGAGAATCTTCCTTTCCCACAGTATGCTGGGTATACTGACGCACTATCCTTTGCCCTTTGTAGTAAATCTGAGATTGAAGTGTAAAAGTGTTATCGTGTGGTTATCAGACCTTGAGTGAAGTTTTTGTTTTTTTCAGTCTTTGGTATATTTATGACAGCCCATTTAGGGTCTCATGTGGTGCGTGTTTGCTGGGATCGGACGTCGGTTATGATAAATAGAAATAATTCGCATTGGTACACTGAAATGCTTGTACAGAATGCTGTTCTCCCCCTACATTCTCAGGAATTATTGATCAATATATACATATTATCTCTATATATATTAC